TTATTGCAAATATTCAGTATATAAGTGAATGTACAAAATTGAAAATGAAAATGAATAAAACATTTAAACTCTAAAAAAAAAAAAAAAAGAGTCTTCTGGAACTTGAATCTTGAATGTTAGCAGTTGCTCCCAGCTTGGTGTCATTTGCAAATTTGATGAGCGCCCCTTTGTTTCTCTTATCTAGGTCATATATGAGGATGTTGAAAGATGTTTGGCCTAAGATAGAACCTTGAGATTCTCCACTGCATGCTCTCCTCCATGTAGATGTAGTTCCATTGACAGCCAGACGCTGAATCCGTTTGTTCAGCAAACTGCAAATCCATCAGATGGTTGTATTGTCGATCCCACATTGTTCTATCTTATCAAGAAAAAGGCTGTGGTTTACTTTACCAAATGTGTTACTGAACTCTAAATATATTATATCTCCAGCATTTCCTTGATCATAAAGTGACTCATTTAGTCACTTTATCAAATGCTTTTTCAGACTATTCTATGCCTTAATAATAAATGAAACACAAATTTTTGGAGAGAGAAATTTACTCTGCATTTTTTTCTTCTCTAATTTATTTCTAATACTGCTGATACTGCACAAAAGATGAAAAGTAATAACATATTGACACTTGAGGATTAAACACTAAAGAACTTCTTAAATAAAAACCCAAACATTACTTGTGAATGCTATTACTGCAACTAATCAGTTCCTACCAAGAAGGAAACAAAACATACATGTTTTTAAATCACAAGGAAGACACCCAGTAATGGGTTTTCACTAACACTACACTATAAATATGACACAATTGTATCAAACATCATAAATCTATTAATCTGCAGTGTTTCCAGCTGCAATGATTTCTTCCATGCCTTAAGAAAACTTTGACATTTATACACAACTAGCTGATAACCTGGTGTTGTCCGGGTATTTATTTATAGGGGGGGAAGAAATGTCCAGACCAAACATAATTTCTAATATTGGATTTTCCCAATTACCAAAGAGAGCCCCCTTGTGGAGTACTGCGAAGTTGTTCACAGTAACAACTCTATTGCTCTGTACAGTAGAAGCCATTTTACGGCAGTATAGTAGAAGCCATTTGAAGACATAATAGGCTGTATTGTAACAGAACACCCCCCCCCCGAGGGGTGTTAGGGTATCTTATCCCCACAATGTTTCTAGAGTGTAAGACATCTGTGTACCAAGTTTGGTTATGCTGGAACATACGTGCGCACGCACACACACACACACACACACACACACACACTGCCATTTTTATATATACATATCGATAACACACTTAAGTCCATTCATAAATATCACTTCTTACTGTATATGTATCCAATCTTTTTCTTCCTTTCTAAATAAACATGAACACAATCCATTAATTTTGATATCAATTAATAGCATTTTCCATAGAGCTGCAGCCAAATAAAGATGATGGAAAACAGATTCCATTGAAGTTAGTGGTATTTAAAGTCCATTCATTAAAAATAGAAAATTGCAGCGGTTCTAGTTGATGATTCAGCAAATACAGCATCTTACTTCCCACAGCAGCCCACCAGTTCTTCTGGGAAGCTGGCAAGCACATTAAGAAGACAAAATCTTGTCTTTGTTTCTCTCAACATGTGTTTTCAAGGCATAATGGACTGCCTTTGGTGGTAGCCGTTGTTAGGGTTGTCCTTGCTTACCCTGCCCCATTGCATCCACACCTTATTGACTTCGTCCAACTTTCCCAATATGGGCCATACTTGTACTTCCTTAGTGTACCTATACTTAGTGCACCTATACAAGTAACAGGAAATGTATGCTTCTTTTAAAATGATTTAGTTTTACAGTTATATATGGTGCTAGGTTCAAAATATTAATCTTCACTCTTGGAAATTGAATTTTTATTTTAAATTATGGCTAGCTTTTATTGAAAATCCTTTTTTTAAAAAAGCATATATTTTAATGCCAGAAAGCAACTAGGATAATAATGTATCTGAGCCTTAAATAGTTTGTACAGAAAATTCTTAACCCTAAAATATTTGGAAGTTGGAAAGAAGGGAGCCAAATACAATTAATGCATTGAGTACAAAATATTATCTAGCTTTTGTGGCTACTTCATCTAATACTTATCTAAAACCATTTTAAGTTTGTACTCTAGAAAATAAAGTCTTAACAAATTCAAGGTATTTCAAAGGCCTGCTATAGAGCCAAATCATTAATTTTCAGTACACTGAATTGGTTTTAATAGTATTAATTGTGTTAATATCTGTTCAGCCATCAGAGAAAGAGGGAAAGATTCTTTTATCTCTGGACAAGAAAATGCTTATCTTCATTTTAGGGTGTGGCACTGTGGCAGGGAACCATATATGTGTGCCTGCTGTAAATGTGGGATTTAGTAAAATGTAGCATAGATTATTTTTTGCATGCAAATATCAGGCCTTGCACAGCCTCACATGAAACACAGACCTTAGTATGCTGATTTGTATCAGCTCAGTATCTTGGCCAAAAATGATTGCCTGGTCCTGGCATGTAGCATAAATTACTACAATGAATAATATTTGAATGACCAAAGACTCTCCTGCTGACAAATCACTTCTGTCTCTTACTGTCTTCTAAATAAGGATGATAAATGAAAAGTAAGGAGTGTTGAGTATAAAATAACATTGTTGAATCCATGATAAGTGCAGGATTACAGAAACCCTCTAGGATTCTTCAAATCTAACAAGTTTGTGTCCAACACTGTATAGGTAAAGTCTTAAAGTGTGGTTTGCTGTCTTGAGAAAAACATTTTTTTCCAAATTTACTTCAAGCTTAGCCATTCCTCTGTATGAGAATAAGAAAGTAGGTTTCCTGTGGAAATGATTGTTTTTGGTTATCATATTGATGTGTCCTTGTTGTGTTCCCTTTTTCATTTTATATTTTACAGTTCTATTTTAATTCTATTCTGTTTATACTTATTTCATTTTTCTCTTTCTATTATTGTAAGTCATCTAGAGTAGCCCCACAGCAAGATAGGCAGCAAATAAATGTAACAAATTATTATTAATAATAATAATAATAGCAATAGCATAGGATTTGGACTTTTATACTGTTTTACAGTGCTTTACAGCCCTCTCTAAGAGGTTAATAGAGTCAGCATATTGCCCTCAACAATCTGGGTCCTCATTTTACCAACCTTGGAAGGATGGAAGGCTGAGTCAACCTTAAGCCTGGTGAGATTTGAACCACCAAATTGCAGGCAGCTGGCAGTCAGCAGAAATAGCCTGCAGTACTGCACTCTAACCACTGCATGATGATGATGATGATGATGTACTTTTATTCATTAAACATGAAACTCAGTCAACTGAACATTTTAAAATGTATCACAAATATTAACTGGCTGTGATGACTGATACAGGTTGCTGCCAGCATCCTAGGTATCAACCAAGTATCTTCTTAAAATGTTGTTCTACCGGTGTTATTGCAGGAAGCTGCAATTTCTTGATGTACTTTGTAAAATTCTTGGACATGGTGCCAAGTGTCCCGATGACAGTGGGTATCACTGTCACGTGTTTCATCCATAATTGCATAGTTTCGATGGCAAGGTCACAATATTTCATAACTACGTGATGAAGATGATGATGATTATTATTATTATTAACAACACCACATTGCATATACATTTCCCTATCTGCAGATAAGCCTGATCCTCCAGCAGGAACTCCCTGTGCATCTGACGTTCGGAGTTCTTCCCTCACCCTTTCATGGTATGGCTCCTCGTATGATGGCGGAAGTGCGGTGCAATCCTACAGTGTGGAAATATGGGACACAGTAGACAAGAAATGGACAGATCTCACCACTTGCCGCAGCACTTCATACAGTGTCCAAAATCTTCTAGCTGACCGGGAGTACAAATTCAGGGTGCGAGCTGCTAATGTGTATGGGATCAGTGAGCCAAGTCAAGAATCTGAGCTAGTAAAAGTAGGAAAGAAAGAAGAAGGTAAGTCTACCACAAGGGATTATGCTTTGAAATATTTCTGTATCACAGGAATGCTAGTTGCTATAAGTGCATCCAATCCCTTTACACAAAATGAGAAAGTGAGGGTGGGTTATGTGAACACACATGAAAGCCCTCTGGAAGAGCATCCCCCATGTCTCCACCCTACAATTGATTGGTAATTCTTTTGAAAATCTGACTTTGTTCCCAGCTTGGGGTTAGAGTGGTTGTTGATGTTCTGGTTTTGATTTTTTTGATGAGGTATGGTTCCCCCCCCCCCCCAGAAGTATGAAGTTTTTTTTCCTTCATTTTATTGTTTCTTGCTTTTGAGATATAAGCTGCCCAGAATCACTTGGAAGTCGTGTAGCTTCTAAATCCGATAAAATTATGCAATGGAGGTTTTATCTATTTGACCCAGTTAGTTGCAAGATCCAAACGTTTTGGTTTGATAATGAATAGTGGTACTTGGAAATGAATGTTATTGTCTTGGGAAAGATATGTTTGCTTTAGTCTTATGAATTATAGTTGAATCATTGCTGCTATCTTTCTACTTTAAATTCAGCAAAGTGAAAGCTTTGCTGTTAGAGTGCAAAAATTCAGTTCATCACTTTCTTTCTGGTAATTCATCATTTAAACATTAGTCTGGCTATGAGTTATTAGATAGCTTGGTGTAAGTAAACCATACTTAAGTAGTAGGTTATATCATTTTCCTTTTTCTATTTAGCGAAGACAAATCAGAGTTTTATGGAGCAGTTGCCCATAAGGCATTCTATAATAGCACACCACTCTTCCTTGCAACTTGAGTTCCCATCTCCAAAATGCTGTTATGAATTACTTTGCAGGTCTGTTATATGGTAACTGAAATAATAAGCATAAAGTATTTCAAGTTATTAAGGGAAAGGAGTGTATACATCTATCAAAAAAGACTGCTTTGTGATCTTGGGATGGAGGGAGACTTATGAATTGCAGTACAGTATTTTTAGATTATCATGACCAGGATGTGGTACAGACTGTGCCATTTCCTTATATGTACATCAACAATGAATTGACAGATAATAGCTGTTTTTGAGAGCAAGGTATTGCAGTTTAGTTGAAAATACAATTCTGTATATGAAGACTGGCTCTCCAGAACTGGAAAACAGATTATTTTTTAAAAGACTATTTATTTAGAAAACAATCTAGCACAGGACAGAGGAAACAAACAATCATAAAATGTTTTTGCTTCTTTGTTTATTATAAATAATACTCCTGCTTACCCAGTCAGTATATGATAAAGTTAGAATAAAACCATCAAACATTGGAGCAAAAAGCCTCATGTACTAAAAGGAGAAAGTTTCATTAAAATTAGTGACAAACGACACAACTTCTTAAGCCCAACAGGATTTTACTGTCTAAAGTGAACAGAACAAAGAATATTTCCAGAGCTTATATTCCACAGCAGGTACCTAGCTTTTAGATACTTTGGCATCATTTGATTGGTTCATAGGATTACGGTAGCTCCTTTAATCCTTTACCTATGTAAGATTACATTGTAATGTGCAGCAAAACAAAAATTAACAATGGGGAAGGATCATTGAAAACATGAAGAAAAAACTTCTGATCTAACAGTCATTTCATTATGAAGTTCCTCACCAATTGCACATTGAAAATGTCAATTCTATGCCAAAAAATATTTTTGGCAGAAGAAACTTTTGATTCAGGTTTCATCTTTTCCAAAAAATTTCAATCATACCCAAATGCATTTATGATTGATACTGTATAACTTGCTGGATAAAGATAATACAACCCCCAAATAGTATCTTAACTTTCCTCAGCCTGTTTTGGACAGCAATTTCTAAAAATCCCAACCAGCAAAGCCCCATTTGTAGGTTGACTATTATAATCCAACATATCTGAAGAGTTCCAGAAAGCCAGGTTTAAGCACTTGAAATAACAAGTTGTTTTGTTTTTAGAGAAAAATTTTTAAAAGGTACACCACACCATATATTTTTTTACATTGTCCCTAAAGAATGGACAACGTTTCAGTGTCCGTTTTCCTTTTTAAGATGCCCTCTTTATAGATTTCAGTCGAAATAAGAGTTCATACTATTATTTTAGAGTAAAACATTGCTGCAATTTATATATTTGTAGGATTCTTTCACTTTTGATCACTCAGGATTTCACTAAAGGTGTCTCAATGAAATTCTTATTTATTATATAATCACACTGTCAAGAATGTGTTCCCTTCAAGAAAACAAGCAATGGAAAACAACTGTTTTAAGCAACGGTCCATATAGAAGAAAGATTCTTCTGTGCTGCAACTTCCCCACAACCCTGTCTGTGGGGGAAAAAACATTGTGAACTTTTTAAGTTATAAAAGGAAATATAATAAATGTGATTATACTTTGTATGCAAGCCTGAGGCATGTGTTTAATCTGAATCCAGGCTTCTTTGGAGGCCATGCATTATAGCTCTGCTTCAGCACAACAATCTGTAAGGAAATAAAATAAACATTCAGATAGAAAATACAAGTTTTATTTAGAATTTATTACATTTGAACATTGAGAAGATACTGATTGCATAGCATTTACTAGTTTCTGGTTCAAAAGTGTGAGTAAGACCCCAGGTACACTGCCAGCTATATGCAAATGACATGAAAATTGATCACACCTGGCAATAAAAGAAGTTTTGGAGCAGTGGAGGGGCTTCAGAAGTCCTCTACATCAAGGCTCTCCAACCTTGGCAACTTTAAGACTTGTGAACTTCAACTCCCAGAGTTCCTCAGCCAGCAGAGGAACTCTGGGAAATGAAGTCCACAAGTCTTAAAGTTGCCAAGGTTGGAGACCCAGCTCTACATGATTTTATATTTATAACATTTAGTAAAATAAATACCAAATATTAATTTATAAACTCATAAAATATTTTGGAAAGCTTGTTTTTGGTCTCTGTAGTTCCACAAGATACTGTCTTAAGCTAGATCAGATAATTATTGTCTGCTCTGACTGACCCAAACAGGAGTTTTCTAATGAATAGCCATCTGATCCTCATAACTGGTGATTGCTAACCTGAAACCCGCTGCATACATATCAGATACTATTCTATCACTGTGCTGTAGCTCTTTCCCATAAATGGTATCTTAAGAGATATAAATAGGAGAGTTGCAATAATGAAGCTAAATTTTTAAAACAAATACCATATGCAAAAGTGCTTATAGAAAGTTAATCCAAAAGCTTTCTTCTTAAAAAAAAGTAAACAAATAATATGTTGCTAGTAAAACCGCTATATTAATGTCTCTGCTTGGAGTGAAGGAATAATATATGGAAAAGGATATACCTTGCATTATCTTTTTTAAATTTTTTGGTAAAACAACATAAATTTATAAGAAGGAAAACTCAGTTTGGGAACCTATTTGCAAAGGCTATATTGGTAGAAAAAATATCAAGCATATAAATCTGATGTACTCAAATAAAATTCAGATTATATTGCCAACAATAGCCAGGAGTTTGGTGTTCCCATTAAATCATCAAGAGCTAAAACGTTTCCTTTCAGTATTTCCAGCATCTTGGCAACCATGAAAATGTTCATGAGTTGGTCATTGGGCAGATCACAGTACATAGGAAAGCAGTTCAACAATATTGTGTACCTCCAAACTTTAGAAAGAGTTCCGTGTGCATAACTGCCTTATTCCAGAAAGGAGTCACAACAAGCTGGATCATGACTGTTAAGAGGCATATACATATATATGTGTGTGTGTTTTCTTTAGGCCCTAAAGAAGAAGAAGAAGCTGAAGGATCTGATGATGGTAAGATCTTAATTATTGCAAAATATGGGATTTATAGTATATAAGAAATTTTTTTAATAACTAAATATTTTTGTATTGAATTGTAGAAGAGAAAGAAACAGAATTTGATTATCGGACAGTATCTATCAATACAGACCAAAAAGTTTCAGAATTCTACGATGTTGAAGAAAGATTGGGATCGTAAGTATAACAATATGTTTCCCCTTTTTACTGAAAAAGTACATTAAAGAGAATGTATAAACAGCTGTTGTGAAAAACTGTTCATCATTCATAGAGAAAGGTAAAGATTTAGTAGATCCAATGAATCTCCTTGGTGGGCATCCATTCACATTCTCATACGCATCTTATTGTTGAAGTCTAATCCAGTTTATCAGATTTGCAACTCCATTCTTTCTGGAAAGTCAATTCTCTGTAGAAGGGCAAAGCTGCTAGATTCCAAAATCATGCTAGAGAAGTTAACAAAGAAATTATTTAGGATTCCTCTCTTCTAGTTTACTCAGAATGTTCAATGATGCAAAGGACTTTCCGTCCTGTTTCTCCACATCTTTTGTAATTGAGAAATTTCCTACATATTCAAATTACATTTTAATCCTTTTATTACTGGATTAATTACTGTGTTGCTTAACAAAAAAGCCTATGCTTTGCACATTAAAGACTCCAAACTCAATACTTGGTGTTCTAATTTTAAGATATCTGGTATCAAGTATTGCAAGGGCATGGAGAGCTATTGCTAGTCACTGCAGAAAAAAAAGTGTGCTATATAGGCAAGTTCAAAAAAACCAGAGCTGTTGTAGGGCAGTTTCCACATTCCGATAACTCTTGCCTTTTCATGTCTGTGCCTGTGAATCCAAGCATGCTGGTTCTGGCTAAGTACCTGTCAGCCAAGCATAAGAATCACATTAATCATCTTAAACCCTAGAATCTAGGTTATCCAGAAAGCATGTTTTCCTATGTTACATATTTTCATTTCATTGGGATTCTTCTTTTCTATATTTTTCAGAGGGAAATTTGGACAGGTTTTCCGACTTGTTGAGAAAAAAAATGGAAAAGTTTGGGCAGGAAAATTTTTTAAAGCATATTTAGCTAAGGATAAAGAAAACATAAGGCAAGAGATCAGCATAATGAACTGTCTGCACCATCCAAAACTTGTCCAATTGGTAGATGCTTTTGAAGAGAAAGCTAACATTGTCATGGTATTGGAAATGTAAGTATAAAGTTGACTGTAGTAGAAATAATATCAGTGTCAATGTTTTTATCATCTTTATTTTCTTACCTAACAAGACTGAACTTGTTTATTATTTTTTTAAATGACATATTTCCCCTTAGTTCTTCCTGTGACCCAAAGCAGACTAATAGTAATAGTAAGCTGCTGTTTTACATTGGAACAGTACAGTCACTCTCTGCCTTCTCAACTTTGAGTGCAGTAATTGCTTTAAGTAACATCTTTCAATTCAGAATACTTCATTCAGCTCTACAAAACACAATAGTCCACTGTTTTTAAACAATTAAATATTATTTCCCTTTAAATATACTGTCTGCTGTCGTATCTAAGATGTTTTTACAATATGAGCATTTTCATGGTTTGCAGGCTTATGGGGGAATGAACTCATTGAACAAAATGAGGCAACTTCTGTGAAGAATGAATTGCATTAAATTGTATATTCCTGTTTTATCTTTCAATCTAGTATTTCCCAGAAATAAAAAGAACGACCCTGCAAATGAAAGCTCTTAAAATAGCATTTCAAGCTTGTTTATCCCATCATAATTCGAGGTCATCTAAGATTATATGAATCTAGCCAGTTTTTAATGCATTTCCTCCCCACCTTTAATGTGAGAATTATGTTCTGGCTTTAGAAATCAGGGGACAGAAGAATGCTAATAATTCCATGCACAATCCAGCTTTATCAAGCCTGAAAATCTCCTGGTTTTATTTTGACTTTTAAAGCATTATGGTCTAAGTGATAATGACATGGTATCTTAAAAGAGTTCAAAAACCTGGAAAAATGTTTTAGCAGTCTTTTTGAACAAATAGTATCCTTCAGTTCCTTTGCATCCACTCCTTATTTAGTGACCGAGCTCTGTTTTAACTGTCATTGAGCAAAATAGTCATTAAGTGATACACACACACACAGACACAAACAGAGAGACAAGAGACAGAGAGATGCTGCAAAGATCATTGGTCTCATTCAAATTAAGTTCTCATACAACTATGCCAATGTTACTTTCATTCTAGAATGCATTTTTGTCAGACACACATTGATCAGATAATGAAATTTTTTTATGGTTGCAATATTTGCAAATGTGTGCTAAACAAAGAGTGGGTGTATTGTAATTGCAGGAATCATTCCACTAGATCTGTTATTAATATTAGGTCATATTTGCCTTACTGGTTTAGTGATTCAAGACCATGGGAAATAAATAGCATGATTTTTATGAGCCAAAATTTCTTCTGTTTTTTTTTAATTGAAGGATTTAATAGATCCCATTAAAGCAACCCTCTAACATCCTTCTGTATTGCACAGATTTGTACCTGATAATTTTTTTTTCAGAGTTTTACTCTTCAGCCTTCTGGATTCAGTTTCAAGTGTCTCTAGTTAAACCTGCCATACTTCAGTCAAATAGTATTATCCAGTACTTGTCCAAAAATCTTCCGTTTATCTCTTGATCGGTTGTTTAAGGCTCTGTTATCTGGGTAGAGAAGATGGATGAGAATATCACTTGAGTACTATTGTTCTGAACTTCCTCAAATCTTCATAGTCCATTATGTTATAATTATAACTGCTCTTGGCATCATCACTTGTCTCCACTTGGACTAGCAGAAAGGGATAACTATCAGTACCTCTTTGAGATTTATCTGTCATATCCATGATCAGATACTTAATGGTTCCAACTGATATGTTTGTTTTCTTGGAGAATCAGTCACCAGTTACCTTGTTTCTTCACCTTCTTACAAAGCTGCATCTTCTGGGATCCATCTTCTATCTCTTGTTTAGCAGTATGATTCCCCCCCCCCCATTTTTGCAAACTCAGAACCTATTTTTATTGTGGGGATCTGAAAGCAGCTTCTAAATTCTTGCAATGCTGAGTATCTTCTTTAACCATTATCCATAGTAGTCATTTTCATCTGCTTAGTTTGCTGTGCTCAACTGTCTTAAGTAGAATAGCTTTCTTTGCCATCCATTGTAGCACATTCTTTGTTTGATCAAATGAGTCTTCATCTTTTCTTATGATCTGAAATTGTCCACTTATTACTCAAATCTTCATAGTTTTTCTTCAGACACCACTTGATGCAACTAAATTCTGGGTTGTGTTCGGGCAGGAGCACAAATACCACAAGTAGTTCAGAGTAGGACTTCAAAATGTCTTTGCTTCTGTTACCTAAAGCATAACCAATACAAAGTCTTACATTAGTGACTACCAAATTTCTTGTTCAATTGCTGTCAGCTTCTTTGAATATTTTATAAATAGAGAGGAGTGATAAATATTGAATAAATAAATAAAGTGTAAACAGTACTTAGCTAGATTCATTAACTCTTCCTTTTTGTGAAAGTCATTTGCAGATCCAAGCTTTCACTGCTGCAGTTTTGTTTTAAATTCAACACCATATGTGAGGGGAAATGTTTTTCCTGTCTCAATAGAAGTCTAACATCATTCCTTTTACTAAAAACCACTAAAATGACATTACTATATGTCTGTAACTGATCCTACAGAATGAAACACCCTTGACAAGAATTATATGTCAGCAGTTCAGTGAATATGTAGGTTGTGCTGTTACATTAAGATTCTTATCTGTAAGTGTATCAAATGCTGAGTGATGTATGAGTAATTTATATATTTGGGTTATTCCTTTTTCTGAGACCATTATTTTAAAATGATTTTTTTTAATCAGTATTGATGGAGAGTTTCTGAATTTTGGGGAAACTGTTTTTCTGTTATGCTCTTGTTCCAGAATGTTAAAACAATATATATTGTGAAACATCAAATCAGTGAGGTTCAGAGTATGTGAATAGGTTTGCAATAAAGCATTTCCATTTAATAAAGCATATTTTCACCATTTGTACTCAAATGTAATCCATTTAAACATGGATCTTTTCTTAAGATGGTTACATAAATACTAGTTCCCAAGATATACTACTGTTTTAATTCATTTTTAATGTTTATTGGTATTTTTATCTCTACAAGTTTTATCCAAACATGTGGTGTTCTTTTTAAAAATGTATTTAAAATCATATTGGGTAATATGAACAAAATGAAATCTAAACGTTAGCAGCAGAGGTGGATTGCTACCAGTTCGGCCTGCTTCGGCCAAGTAGGTAGTAACTCGGCCTGCCACACCCCCGAACCAGTTCTATTGTCAGCAGTGCCATCTTGTTTTAGGTTCTGCACATGCAAAAAATTTTGCGTGCCGAACCCACCCCTGATTAGAAGTATGAATTCCTGAAGAGACCACAGTACTCTTTCACTATTGCAATGTGTTCCAATATCTAAGGGGCTATTGGAAAGAAGAGAAGTTCAACTTAGTCTCCAAAGCATCTGAAGGCAAGACAAGAAGCAGTGGATGGAAATGAATCAAGGAAAGAACCAACCTAGAACTAAGGAGAAATTTTCTGACAGAATAATTAATCAATGAAATGACTTGCCTCCAGATGTTGTGGGTGCTCCAATACTGGATGTTTTAAAGAAGAGATTAGACAGCATTTGTCTGAAATGGTATAGGGTTTCTTGCCGGAGGAGCGGGTTGGACTAGAAGACCTCCAAAGTCACTTCCAACTCTATTATTCTTCAAAATAGAAAGTGTTACTTTGTCTTGCATTGACAGAGTTTGAGATGTTCAAAAAGTTGAATGTTGGGAGAAAGGAATGCTTGTGATGGATATATTACATTGTTCCTATTCCCCATCCCATCTTAGTCCTCCAGAATAATCAGATTTAGGTGATCTGACTTTCCTTCATGTAAAGGATGTGTTTTCCATGCAGTCTGTTTTCTCTTTGCTATATTGCTTTAGTGTTTCTGGAGGAGAGCTCTTTGAAAGAATCATTGATGAGGACTTTGAACTGACAGAGAGGGAATGCATTAAATACATGAAACAGATCTCAGAAGGCGTACAATTCATTCATAAACAAGGCATTGTACATTTGGACTTGAAACCTGAAAATATTATGTGTGTCAACAAAATTGGTACAAGAATCAAGCTGATTGATTTTGGACTTGCACGAAGATTAGGTAAAGTTTCTAAGTTATCTTAAAAACTGTCAGGAACAGTGTTTTTTTATAATGGATAGTAATTGTAATCACTATTTGGTACTTGGAACCACTATTTAATTGAAAATTGCCTTGTCCCACACAGTATTTTTCTCCAGAGAGTAAGTCATCTGTGTACCAAGTTTGGTTGAAATTGCTCGAGGCATTCCAGAGTTAGATATATTTACGCACTCATACTCACACGCTGTGCACATATAATGGATTAGAAGCATTTTGTATAGGGAAGGGGAGGGCATGCAGGGAAAGAGGGAAGGAATATTTACTTGACTTTCCAGTCTCCATATAAAACTGTTCAGCAGTAGAGGGATGTATGGATTAATGTTGTAAATTTGGATAATCAGCCAAGGTTTCCGTTCCTCATTGCCTTTATATTCTACCTAGACTGCCTTAAAATTATTTTTCTATGTTAATTATGAAACTTGGGGAGAATTTGCTTAACTTCAGAGAGCAACTTCAGAGACACTATATTGAACAGACAACATTTTAACCTTCTCTGTAACCTTAGAAAATGCAGGTTCTCTGAAGGTCCTTTTTGGAACACCAGAATTTGTGGCTCCAGAAGTTATAAATTATGAACCTATTGGCTATGCTACTGACATGTGGAGCATAGGAGTCATCTGCTACATCTTGTAAGTAATCAATTGATTCAGACATTTAAAATACCACATTCTCTTTGCTTACATTCTAGAGCCTTACTTTCTGAAAACATATTAATCTAAACATATCCATATACAGCAGAACTGTTTTATTTGAGATTATTTCCCCTTAAATGTACATTCATGCTCTTTAAACACAAAAATATAAGAACTGAATTAGATCAGTTTTGTAAGTACGTTAATGTCCTTTGAAGACTTAAGGAAGGATATATGTTGTTATCCTAGTCATAATATGTAAATTATTCCAGTTAGTCTTAATTAAACTTCACAGTTGCCTCAAACTACTTTTTAACTAAATCTGAATCCTTTTGACTTCAAGGATACAAAAGTATTTCATTTAACCACTGTGAGATTGCTGAGAAATAATACAATAGACAATAGAAATAATTACCCTTCCATACACAAACATATTTTGTTCATTCTCATGTACTATGAGAATGCCTCTTTCCTTATTCACAATTTCATATTTAAAAATTTAATTCTTCCTTTAGAGTTTTCCTTTTGTTACATCATTATCTGCAAAGCAGTTCCTTAAGCTGAATGTATGAGAACATGGGGGTATAAAATTTATATTTTGTTATTAAATCACAGCAGGATATTAGCTATTTTCATTTATGCGTTTATTAAAGAGCCAGTTTGACTTAGTGATGAAGGTGCTGGTCTAGAAACCAGGAGACCATGAGTTTTAGGCTTTCCTTAGGCTTGAAAGTCAACCAACTTAGGGTCAGTGTCTCTTTCTCTCCCTCCTTCTCCCTCCCTCCCTCCCCCCCCCCCCCCCCCCCACTCTCTGTCTCTTTCCAACCCACTTCACAGGCTTGTTGTTGTAGGGAAAATAGGAGGAGGAAAGAGTATTCAGT